GGCCAGACCAAGATAAATACAGAACTCTAACCCACAGCTTGCAGCAATCAGCCCAGGAAACCAACCTGTTAACTACAGTAACCAGCCCAGGAAGCCATCCTGCAATCTACAAGTCAGACTTACAGGAAATCAGACCACCATCTCTAGCAAATGGTCCAGCAAGCCAAAAACAATAACTCCTGTAACAATTGGCACAAAATGGCCAGGACTTGATTAATAACTACTACCTTCCCTAATTTTTATCCCTGCTTCCAACTGAGGACCAACCAAATATGTACCCCTAACCATCACATAGGAGCCCCCTAGTCAGCCTGCCTCCAGCCTCCAATCGGCACACCTGGAGCCTTCCCTTTTCTCCACTAGAAAGCTTTCCCGTCCCTCTGCCTGCCTTTGAGTCTCTGCCAAAACGCAAGTGACAGTGACAAACTCTCTTGCTATGTAGCAAGCTCTGAGTAAATAACCTTTGCCTATTCCCATTTGGCTGGTCTTTGTTTATTTCCACAGACAAATTTTTCTCACATAAAATAATTAAATATTTCCCATAGAAAGGTTCATAAAAATGAAGTCGTGACCAACGTTGTGGGTCCTGGGCAAGCTGGGTTTTCAGAAGGATGCTGTTTTCAACTTGCATGTCAGAATAAACGAAACGTACACAATACATAGAATATGAGGAAAATGGATTTCGAGGTAATGGGGTTGAGATGAGGCCATCTGGTTTGCCAAAAGGAGAGTAGTTGCTTTGTTTAGGAATATTTTGAATAAAGTGAGAACACTGAAGTAAGTTTTACAGACGTATTTGTAGTGCACACAAATGTATGAACAAATGCAAAACTTAGCAGTTAATTCCTGGTCTTGCCCATCACAAATCTTAAGTGCTTTGCCTGCCTAACACATACTCAGACAAGCCATCTGTCCTGCATTTGAGTTTAATCATATACAATGAATGTTAAAGCTCTGTTATTTGTCAGACATTGGACAACTATGAGCAAGGCCTAAGTTTCAGGGGAAAAAAACATGTATATTGAGGCATGACTATGAATTAAAAGCAATTTGACTAAGTAAATTATAAATCTACCATAATCTCATCCAGCTCTGCTTACAGCCCCGGCTTGCTTTGTGAGTCTGGGGGGAACCAAATGAGACAAAGTTTCGGGCTTTCTCTCTCTCTTGTCCTGTTTCCTTGGCAACCATAATCTTTATCTGAGCAAAGATGGGGGACTGCATCGAGGAAAGCCAGTTGGAATTTCAGCAAAGTCTCTCACTAATCCTTCTCTTGTGTTATCAGATGATTTGTTTTGTTACGAAAAGTTATTTTACACCACTTTTGAGATGGTGCTGGGAGTGTATATCAGGTATCCTAGAAAGACGGAGAGGATTTTTTTTTTTCACAAGCTATGCTAACATTGTAACCACAAAGATGAAATCAGCCTCTTGGTACACATAAACGAGGCACCTGCAAAGTGAGAACTAAAATGCCCCTCTCTCTCTCTCTCTCTCTCTCTCTCTCTCTCTCTCTCCCTCTCATTCTAACATATATGAGTACTCTGGCTTGCAAACACCCGTGTCCCATTCAGCCACCCACATACATTCTGGCCAAGGCATTGTGCCAGGAGCACCATACTGAGGGAACAAATCTTGGGATTTTGAAATCATTTGTATACACTGAAGGGAAGGAAAGGAGAAAGAGGAAGAAGTGGTGGATACTTTCAGGGAGATGCGTCTGATAGGTGGTGGCCCACTTCACACCCTTTTCTAGTACTTCCTGAGAGTGCATCTGTTCAAGAAAGAAAGGGGGTTCAACCAGCACCCTCTTTCAAAATGGAGGTACCTAAGCCCCATTTGGAGGGCTGTTAGTCATTTACACATTCATATGATCAGGCTGCTCTGATAGGGGGTGGCGGAGTGGGGAGTGCTGACAAGCTGCATCAGGGAACCCTGGGGGCACTTAACCTGAGTGGGACTCAGACACTAAGGCACACCCAGGGGGTATAAGACCTATAGGTGTGGCAGCAGCCGGTGGGAGAAGAATGAGAAAGACAATATTTTACTTCAAGATATTATCTTTAGGGAGGAGGAAAGGATGAATACATAGAGCACAGAAGATTTTTAGTGTCATGAAACTATTCTGTATGATATTC